TGTTTGGCGTTCTTATGGCCGAATTTCTTCTCATTCTCAAAGATGTGGCTCGGCTAGTTGAAAAGTGCTGAGACACTGAGGGCGCTTGAGCGAATATTTCATTTCTGTGACAGAAATCTTCGCGAATGCGGCATTATTTGGCCTGAAACGCTGCAATCTCCTTTCCTCCCACTCCTCTCCTCGTAAAAGCGTGGATAGATCTGCATGTCGCTTGCCGCTCTACTCTCTCGTCCTCTCTGGATTAGTTTTTGGTCTGAGTTCTCCATGATTGGCTCATACAGTAACCAGAGGAGAGTTACAAAAGAGAGGAGGTTTATTTTTAGTAATTCCAATTGAATCTTCCGTTTCTTCTTTATTGACGGTCTACTTGAAATCGTTCATACTTGAATAATCGTTCATGCTAGAGTTCTATACTTCAGCTCCATTAACCAGTGCTATCGTAAAACGTCCGTCTTGTTCACACTTTGTCAAGAGTTTCTACCTAGAAATTTATGTTGAACTTTTCAAGGGAAAAGCAAACATGGGTGACGATTTCTCCTTGCTGTCGACACTCCTGCCTATGTTTTGTTTGATAAATGTTTCAATATTGTTCTTCCCGGAGTCTCATGCTCATTTAAATGTGTAAAAACAATGTGAGGCTCCAAAATATTTATTGCAAAAGACTCGAAAACTTTTTACAAAGGATTTGCAAAAGTATTGCAACTGCTTTCAAAAGTTTAAAAGCCTTTTTTGGAGAGCATTCGGCGAGTAGCGATTTTGTCAGGCCTAAAAAACGTAAAATCAGACTTTATAGTAAGATTTTTTCGGTTAATATACTGAAATTATATTGATATATATATTTAATCAATCGGCCTAACGTTTCGACAAAATCGTCGTCTTCTGAGGCCTAAACGCGGTTCAAGGTTGAAATTATAGTTATATTAAGTGTTGTGACAGGCGCTAAGCGCCGAAAGCTCGTCAGGAAAGGCTTTCTGAAAGCAAACTTTCTGAAAGCAGTTGCAATATGTACTTTTGCAAACCTTTTGTGAAAAGTTTTCGAGTCTTTCCCAATAAATACTTTGGAAAATAAATATTTTGGCTCAGTTTGTTTTACGCATTTGAATAAATATTGTTGTATCGATTTATAGGTCTCAAACAGGATGTAGGTCTCAGACAGGGCAGCATGCTTGACTAACTTTGAACAAGTCGCCAGCAGGCTTATTTCTTGCCGAACCCTCTGGTAGCTGGTTTCGGTTTAATGTTCGCATTCCTACATTAGTCCGTACTTGCTTCGATCCTCGTCTATCACACCCTTCACGGCTTTCTTTTTTCTTGACTTTTCCTCTTTTTTTCATGCCATGACATTCGATACGTGCACCGTTTTTTTCCTGGCAAAAGCCGTTTGACCGATGGATTTTGCTACAGCTTTAATATAGCGCATCCATCTTACTCTTCCTCACAGCATTCATTTTACCCATTCCCATTTCAGAACATTTGTTATGGTACGTTTGCGATGACACCTGAATTGCTATTCGCCTTGCTGTACACAATGATGGTAAGTTGAGGAGAAGATTCCCATCCGGGCTGGAAAATCTCACCTTCTTTTGATGATGCTCCAGAAAAAAAGTGTGGGAATGAAATTTAGTGCCGAAATATTCTCGACTAAACTTTCGTTACGTCAATGCCTTTGAAGAATTCATTACTGACGCTCTATAGCCATACCCTTTTCTCCTCATATACCATACCCTTTCTCACATTTTACGCGGGCAAATAAAGGCCGAAAGCGGGTAACAGAATAACGCGGCTCACGGGAAACTGAGAAATTTTTTCCTTAAGAAATTTCTCTGGTTCAACCAAATAATCGATTAATCGATTTGTTCATAAGTTGATTGCACTTGATGAAAAATGCATCTTTTCTATAGTTACTTCAATAATAAAGGAAAATTCAGCCAAGTTCGTGGTGACCCATGTTTGATTGTACAACAGTAATAGCTTAAGTACTTAAAGCTAAGGGAAGGAAGAAAACCATAGGGAAATTGCCGAAAGTACTATGTTTTGCAGGGCTGAAAAATGTTCGTGCTAAGGGATGAAACTGGGTGATTGCACGATTTTCTGCTTGTTGATATTATCAATCGCTCCCTTGCTCCACCTCTTTTGAACCACTTTCATTACCGCTGTTATTCCCAACCTGCAAATAGCTCCTTTATTGAATTATTTCCATTTTTCCGAGGCAGTTTTTCGAAAGGATTCCGGCATTTACAAGCACTGCTAAACCAATTAGTTGGCATAGTCCACGATCGACTTTCTTTTAATCTTGGCATTGAAGATTCAGTCTTATAGTTTATTGAAGCCTCTCCAAGATTGGCCATAACCCGTGACCTCGCGCCATTTCTCGGCCTCTGTAATTTCTGACCTACAGTGAGGTCGTGGAGGTGGAGGTAGTAATGCTCAGTGTACTCAACATTCAAGTTCTAGTGGTGGTCTCTCTCACTCCTTGGCGACAGACATCAAGGTGAGCTGGTAACACTCTTCGCATTGACCGATACCGACTGAGGGTTTTCTAGTCTATTGGAGTTGTCTTCAGGATTGTTAGAAGCTTCGAGGGATCGATCTCAATGTTCTCGACTTTTTCAGGCTCTGAAGAAGGCGAAGAAAGCCGAAACGTCAGCCTTGTTAAGTACTACAATCTTGGAGAGGCTTCAATAAACTATAAGGACCAATTAGTTGGCAATAACCGTTCCAATTTGATAAGCGTTGGCTTATTTATTAGGTTAGTCGGGGGCGTGACCTTTTGGTGGGTGGGGTTTTCGGGGTTGAAGGTATTCCTATTGATCCATAATATTTCTATCAAAAACGTTTGATATACGTTCTACAAGGTTCTTTTTTCTGAAGGTATATCGTGGACAAAGCAATGGCCCCATCACCACCAGCTTGTTCTTCTGAACGAGGGATGACAGGAGCAGAGTCGTAGACAAATGCGCTAGCTAGACTTGTGGGATAAAGGAGCGAAGTCCATGCGTATGCAAAGACTGAACGCTTTAATAAATATGTTCTGTAGTGCCAATTTAACAGACCGCGTTGGAGATCGCGCATGTTCTACGTTTTGCGGCCGCTTTAGACTTCAAGGGATTTTTTTAAAAATTTCTCAATCAAATTCGGACCAAAACCTGTATTGAGTGATATAGAAACGATGACACAAGAAAACTTATAGCTTGTTGTCCAAAAAAAAACCCAAAAATTTTTTTTTGGGTTCTGGTCTAAGGTCCCGAACGATGATGAGATGGATTTCCCAGCATACTCGGGGATTTGCACGTCGTGCCGCTGCAATGGTTGTTTTTAAAGCTGTTTGCTCGTAGTACGTGGTAGTACGAATTGGGTTTTTCTGTTTATTTAGTGTGATTGGATAAGGAACTTATACGGGTTGCCCAGTAAGCTGTGAAAAGTCCAGCGAATTAATAAGGTTGTTCGAAAACGGACAATGTTCCTTTTTAAGGTCGCAGGCAAACGGGTAAAATGTCCGCCACCGCCACGCTCGTTGAGCGAGGGTCAAATTGTACAAGCTCTATTCAACAACTACACAAAAATGCTTCCTGAAGGTGACAGTGCCGTCGAGGTTCAAATAGAAATGCATGTCCAGGTTAGTTGAGAACTTTCTGTGAAGACTTAATACAACCTTGAATTTTTGTTTTGATTGATTGTTTGCGCATCTATTTTTGATGGACCTGATTTTCTTGAAAAGACAAACTTTGTATGTGTTTTGTCACTTCATCTCGAATATTGCTTGGGCTCGCGTCTATTTCTGTTCTCAATGGAGGTTTTGATGGCTAAATATACAGTTTTGTATTGATCCGTCATGGTTTTGGAGCGACCACACCCTAAACTGCTTCAATCTATTGTTCGTAGTTTTGTGATATTAGTCGTATGAAGAAATAGCAGTTCAGTTGTAAGGTCTGTGCAGGTTGACACCTTCTGTGCGGTCCATTGCTGGCCCTATATTCCCTGTGCTTTTACATGGGAACTATATCGCAAGATCAAGGTGTATTTGATTTGGCCAGGACCTCGGTCCAGATTGGAACCCACCAACGGTGCTGGTAGCTACACAGCACCACGTTAATTTATTTATACCACCATCTCCGCCAAACAGAGTCCTTTGGCAGTCGAAAGTTCTACGTAAGCGGGGGAGCCCAAAAATATTGAATGGTGGTTTGCTTCGATTATGGTTGGAATTTAGGTTCAATCCTATGTATGTTGCGACAAGCCCAACGGGTTGTATTTTTTGTGAATTAGGTGGGGCTCGTTTCGTGATGTTAATCTTAGATTCATGGGTGAGGTTTGGGGCCCCGAATAGGTTGGTGGTGGCGTTTGAAGCCGAGGGAGAGAAATGCTTTCCCCGGATTCACTCGTATTCATATACGAGTCCCTCGCGGCTGAAAAGGCCGATTGTGGGGAGAAGAGGTTGTTGAAATTTTTGCATTTGGTGAAGGGGGTGGGGTCGATAAACAGTTTCCGAAAGAAGTTCGCAATATCCGATCCTGGTCGTGATATGCATACCATTATATTTGAAGTCGCTTGCCTCTGATGCCTTCAAAGTACATGACAAAATTTAGTTACATCTCCAAGGGTAAGCTCTTGTTGGCATTAGTTCATTCGTTATAATATCATCTATTCTCCATTAGTTGTTCTTAACGTGAATTTGGAGATCGTTTTGTTAAAGTTTCTAAATTCCTTCTTTCACTTTTAGTCGTCTTTTGGAGTCGATTCCTTAAAAAGTAAGGACTCAATCTTCTCGACATTCTAGCTGGCATCAGAGCCATCAAGCGTGCTATCGGACGTCAGCACGAGGTTTTGTCGTCAGCTGAACCGATAAGTGCATGCTTGCCATTCGCAGAATCTCATTGAGAAAGATCGCCGTACAAAAAACCCCACAACCTGATGGGAAAATTCAAAACACATGAATTACGTTGGAAAAAAAGCGTATCATACGCTCGGAATTCACAGAGAGCAGTGTGAATTTCACGTTTAGCATTTTTCAGAAAGCAAATTTTTTCTCTTCTAGTTCCTAGTTTCTATTTTGCACGCGCACATTTGCCCTTTTCAAGGGTTACTGTCGATATATTGAGCTTGTTGCCTCCATAAGCCGGCTAATCTCTGCTCGATGACGTAAAAGGACGAAAAGAAAATTAGATTCACTGAATAATGTTGCTGTTAATTTCAAAACGTTTTTTCGATCTCCAGGAATAGCGGAGAAACTTGCGGGTTCAGACTCATTAATTTGCCAATCATCTAAAACTGGTCAAGCTGGGTGTTTTTGCAGAAAAATTAAAGTGCTCCAAGTAAATCACTTTATTTGAAGAGTCGGAAATGATACTATTCAAAATAAATACATAAATATCAGGGGGGGGGCGGGCAAAAAATGTCGCCCACCATTATGTATTGACAAAAGCCAGGGTTTTTGAAACTTATAGACCGATTATCTAGTTTCTTCACCGTTTTTTCTTCAGAAAGTTTGGGAACATTTTTTTTACTGAATAGCAGCAGTGCTGTTATAGTGCTGACATGGCAATTTATCTCCTTTTGTTCCTTTTCTATTATAACTTCCTTATTCCTTAATCACTTTTATATCGTTAGGTTATCTCTTTTATATATTTCTTTCTCGCTTTTATTTCTCTGTTTAGCGTGAACTATTCAGTTCCAGTCACGTTTCCAGGTGCTCAATTTTAACTTCATTTTTTATGCCAATTTTCCGGGGGAAAGGTCAATTTCATTCACTTTGAGAGCCTAGCGAACTGCTCTACATTTAGTGAATGGGCTACTTCGAAGCTTTTGCATTGGAAATTGGTTTACTTACTCCTCAATACCAGGATGAACAAAGGTCGAAAATCTCTCAAGAGGGATCGTAGAAAAAGAATTGGCAGTTTACATTTAGAAGGGGAGTGAAACTTGTGACCCTTCAACATATTCTCTGGAGATACTCTAGTTTCATAAAGATTCTGCAGGATTTGATCCGGATCTGAAGACGGAACTAAGATGATCAATCATTAAAGAAGGCTAAAAAATCAATCATGAAACTACAGTAGTATGCTGGTACCGTATACAATATACACCCCGTGGGTCAAATACCGGTTCAAATTCTGTTCACATCTATCTAGCATTCCTTCATGCTGGCAGTCGAAAACCGACTTTTGTGATGAACGTCGAATGCGTGGCGCATTCCTGTAGAATGTAGCTATCAAGGCCGAACGCTTTGTTTTTTCATGACAGTGATTCAAGGAGTTCGTCTGCTTAAGATCCAATTTCCCAGTAAAATCAGAACACATTCCATCTCTGAATCTCAGCAGTGGCGGTCACAACTGAAAATCTTCGGGTTAGGGGCGGAATTCTGGAATTTGCTTACTACACGTGTCTGAAAGGAAACGAAAATTAGTTCTACGTTGGTTGGCCCTGCGAGCCGATGAGCATCCAATGTGACTGCAATTCTCAGTTGAAGCAGAGTGCATGGTGCATACGTGAAAAGACTTGTTCATAGCCAATTTTTCCTCCTTCTTTTCTTAATCATGAATTCGTAAAATTTCTATTGAATACCTCAGTTCATACTATGAGTTTTTTATACTCTTTCCTACAGTCTTTGCCTCTGCTATCTTATTTCTGACTTGTACTAGCGATTTTTACTTGCATTGCGTTTCCGATTTTTTCCAAGCCAACAAAATTCCGGTGAGCAGAAGGCCTATTTTCGTAATGAGTAGGTCCAACAACTTCTCTGGGTGGCATCTTCATGTAGTACATTTTCCATGAAGTATTTATCTCTTCTTTTCAGGATATGGGTTCTTTGAACGAGATTACATCAGACTTTGAAATCGACATCCTATTCACACAACTATGGAGGGATGAGTCGCTGTCATTTGCTCACATGTTAGCTTGTAAAAGGTGCTCAAATGTTACCTTGTTTTTCAAATTCCAAGCTATTATAACTATTGATCGCTTTTCGATTTGTTAGCTACAAAGCGCGCTCATGTCGTTAGGAGGCGGGGGAGGGGCATCCAAATGGGTGTGCCTTGTTAAAGTTCTTGCAACTGAGCCATAGGGAGGAGATGGAATTCCAGGGGAGGTGGTGAAGGTGAGCAACTGCCGTTTCCCTCTGCTGAGCTTGATCGTATTGTCACCTCAGCGCCATTTTCAGAGGTCCTGTTTTGAATGTCCCCGCTCCCCCGCCCAAGGCCATTAGCGCCTTGGAAAGATTTAGGATCAATTCCTGAGAAGGAACTGTTGTGAGGACGGTGAAGGAATGTTTTTTTAGGACTAATTACTACTGAGGCCACGTATGTTGCAACGGATCTGGACGCCAAATACCTGTTTGATTAACTCGAAGAGGACGATGATCCACGCGTCGCCCAGTGAGAATGTGATGCTGATCCTTTACGAGGTACGAGGCTGCAGTTTCAGTCGGATTGTCTGTCCAAAACTCGGCCAGGAAGCGGATTCGCATAATGCTTCTCTGCTGACCTTTGGCCACATTCGTTCAACACATTGCATCTTTGGCGCGAATGAACACCGGGCCGCCGGCAATTAGACTAATCACAGCCAGGAAGCTGTGCAGATCGGGAATTATTCAATGGGCATTACCTAAGTGTTTCGCTGCCGAAAGAGCGCGTGGAACAAAGCGGGAGTTCTATGATTTTCAGGCGCGAAAAATCATGTTTGGCTAACTTTTTGAGTTGGAAACGTATTTTGCATTTTGTGGGGTCTTGTGCAAAGCAAGAGGCGATATGAGACGTAATAACCGAGCAAGATGTAATCCAATCTCCCTCCGAGATGAACGTGCGCTCCCAACGGACGGGGCACTGCTACGGCCACAATAGCACCTCCTGATGAGAGACATTCACTGAACATGGGGACCATGGCAATCCTAGGGACAAATCATGAAAAGTCCCTTGAAAAAAGAGGAGCTGTAAAAGGGTGAAGGGGTTTAATGTGGCGATCTTCTTCACCTGCCAATACTTGGAGTCATCCCAATGGCAGGAGTATCTGGAACCTGACAGCTCTATTCCTAATTGAATCTTGAAGTGAGTGTATGAGTCGATTTGAGCGTTTCTTTGTACTGAGGGCTATTCTATCGTCACTCCGTCAAAACGTAGCTATTCCATTCCCTCTTTTTTTTCCTCGCCTAAAGAGTCCACCTAATCAAAAAAATCCACAAAGATGCTCGGTTTTTGATTAGTCTTGTTGAATTAAGCGCGTTTTTAGTTGCAGATCCCGGTGAGAAATTTTCATAAAGACACTGAGTTACCGATAAACTTAGCCCTAGCCGAGACTCAAATTTGTGCCTAATGCTTTCCGGGTAAGTGCGCTACCCATCAAACTAGAAAGCCACGTTTCACTTTCCTCAGCCACTAAAAAAGGGGGTCTTTCAGGGCAAGCCACGCTTTTTCAAAATTTGTTGCATATTGTAGGGAAGCATGTAGGGAACACAAAACCATGTTTCATTTTCGCTGAACGGTTTTAGCAGTACCAAAAAAGAAGCATAAGGTACTGTAAAAAAATTAAAAATTCGCTTTAGATGAGACTCGAAATCGGTTT